GTGTGTGTGTGTGTGTGTGTGTGTGTGTGTGTGTGTGTGTGGTGATGTGGGTATTTACTTTGCTACAAACTTGCTCATGTAGCCAAAACTGGGAACAGAATGTTAAAAAAAGAGATGGTTTCTAAAAAAAAAAAAAAAGCAGTCCTGGGAATTACGGTAAGCCTTGAGACTTTACCAGGAAATCCAAATACTAAAAATTTCCATTTTTGTTTCATTTTACCCTAAACAAATTAATTCAAGACTTTTTATCATCAGGTTTTTCTATTAAGACTTTATTGCTTTGTGTGGAAAGTCCAWGTGACAGGATGAAATTCAGCTCGGTCTCAGAGGTCTAACAGTTCCAAGGCAGGAAACTTTTCTGGATCTCCATTTATTTTAGCCGGTGTGTGTAAAAGTCGTGATGGGTTTTTGACCTAAAGATCTCCATGAGTATTAAATTCAAAACAATTTAACCTGCTAAATGTGACCAAATAACACAGAAGCCTTTATTAAAACTAGCTCGACTTGAGCATCAAGTGACTCAACTGCAGTTTTTAAAACAAAAATCTGTTTTACGTGTTTATCTGTTTAATGTTTAACAYAAAAATGGTTTCACTTTGTGTTTACTTTGTTTACTTTTTGACACTGTGTAAGGGGTTGTGTTGTCCATTTCATTTTTTCTAGAAATTCTTTGTTTTTATTCTAGATTTTAAATTAGGTTTTAGACATTTTATTGTTTTTTTATTCCCTGTCTTTGTTTTTTATTTCCTATTTTTATTCTTTCTGTGTTTTTTGATTCTTGTCTTAATTTTGATTGAGTATGAATTTGGATGAGCTGTGTTGGAATGTTGATTCTGTACAGCACTTTGGTCTGTATGGTGCAAAAAGAGCTTTACAAATAAAGTTGGATTGGATTGMATTGGAAAAAACAACATCATTTTATTAATTATAACCAATGAAACTTGTGTCTACAGGCACTTTGAAAAATAAGCAGTTTTGACTGAAATGTACAAAATCTTGTCATACCTCTTTGTGACCTTATTTTCTTGTTTGTTTTAACGCCTACTTCAGCTTTAGGAATGACAACTAAACAAAAACGTTCATTGAAATACATTATTAAATGCATCCTTCATCTTTGTGTCTCCGTCCAGCTCTCCGTGGCTCACCCCGATGACTGGGCTCGCTTTGCTCGCACCCTGATGGAGATCCGCGCGAACCGGGCCGACGGCGAGGAGGAGGGACCTATGGAGCTGGCTTCATAGAACAATACCGTGGAACCAAAAAAAAAGGGCGCAGGAATCAGAAACCGTGTGTGCTTTCTTTGACGTCAGTGTAGCATGTTTCGTTTCTCTACTTTTATGTACTCATTACAAACGAGGCGGGGCTTTTTTTTAAGTGTTTTTATTTATTTTAAGGACATTGTTCTGAAAATAAGTGACATCTACTGATTTGTCTGTTAGTATTTATTTGTCTCAGGTGGTGTGTTGCTTGCAACTCGTGAGCCTACAGTAKATAAAGTGTTGGTCTTATAGCCTTATAAAATTATGTGTACTGTAACAAAGCTTTGCACTATGTTAAAAATGAAGCAGGGTTATAGGCTTGTTGTGTGTTGTTTACAAAATACGATGATCATCACTTTCTTTTCCTTGTTTTGAATCTGCATGCAACACATAGCTGCAATGTTCCGGTTGCAGAAACATGGCGCTTTACGTTACGGCGCGTCGTAGCTGCTTTAGGTTTCAGTCAGTGTGTCGGAAACTGAATGACGTGTGCTTTTCTGTACTGAACAACAGCTTCGACCGTGTATTCGATAATAGACTGTAACTGTGAACAGGAGGTGTGTTGTAACGCGGAGTGATGGCTGTGAAACCTGCTGTGGTTATTATTAAAACAGAACCAACAAACTGCTGCCGTCCATCTTCTTCAGTCATCGATGATCTGTCAGTTTTTTTTATCAGAACACTTTACTGCCACGAGCGTGATGGGTAATATGTTATTTTATTTTATTTAAAAATTCATTTGTACTGTCAAAGGTAGGTGGAACACTACAGAATGTAACAGAGCAAATATTATCTTTAACCTTTTGAAATCTATTTTTCTTTTAAATTTGGTTAAAAAATACAAAATATAATTATTATTTTTGGAGGGCCAGA